GACAGGTACCTGCTACCTGTCTAACTGCTGGAATGGAACCCCTCCGTATATGCTCATCCTTCGCACCCCTTCTGTCCTTTGGGTGCCAGTTAATATCTCTGATTGGGTAGCTCCATCACTTCCTATCCGGCTTTCTTCCACCTCCCTACAGATACATAAGAGAGATTTCGGAGCCTCTGCTATTGCTGCCCTTATCGTTGCTTTTATTACAGCCGCAGCAGCCGGGGCCACAGCAGCCGTTGCGCTCACCCAATCCACCGTGACCGCTCAAGGACTTAACAACCTTTCCCATACTGCCGCTGAAACTTTCTGAGTACAACAACAGCTTAATGCATATGCCCATATGGCTCTGCTTAATCTCCAACAACTTGACCTCATGGACAGTGAGATTCAAGACTTCTGGCGCGTTGCTACCACTGCCTGTGACCACCGCTTCTCGCTGACCCAACTTTGCATCACACCAAAACCAGCCAACCTCTCTTCTGCTCATCTCTCGCTCCGTGAGTGGATCCTTGGTCCTTACAACAGCACTTACTTCAACCTCTCCCTTCAACTGACTGAACAAATACAAACTATTGACTCTATCCAAGTTCCTATTCTAACGGACAATGTCCTCTCCAATCTCCTACATAACCTATGACGCCTATTCTCACCAGCCAATTTAATTACCCTTGGATTCTTGGAACTCCTAGGACTTCTTGCGTTAATCGCGCTTCATATGATATGTACCAGGTTACAAATGATAACCTCTAAACAGGCTATGATGGCCTCAATTCAATTGGCTTTTATAAAAAAAGAGGGGGAATTTGTGGGAAAGAGAGGTCCAGAGGTCTGGTTGACAGCCGTGGCAGAGAAGCGAGTCTGTGCACACTCAACTCGTCATGTCCTCGGCACACCGAGCGAGTCACCCTGCCTAGGCTGTCCCGCTCTGACCTCTTAACTTCCGCACAGCCCCTGGCCAAAAGTACCGCCTCCAAACCACGCCCCTAGCCCCACCTCCATTACCACACCTCCAGCCTGTTCAATAAAATGCCTGGTACTTCCACAATAAACCAGATCTGCGCCATCAGCCTGGTCTCCGGTGTCTTCTTTGCACCATGTCGCCTCTTACCACGGGCCCAGGTCCCTCGACCCAAGGAGGTTCAACTTCAAAGTAGTACATGAAAGTGTTAAAAAATGGTAGGATTACAGATTCTTAATTTTTGTTTCAACAAATATTTGGTTTTTCCCTGTTTTTGCAAGGACACTATAATCTGAAGAAACGGTAAGAGTATAGAAACAACTCCTGAATTGTAAGTAAATAAGCACAGAAAAGTTGTCGGTAAGATTATAGAAACAACTCCTACACTGTAAGTAAATAAGCATAGAAAAGTTTCTAGAAAAGAAATAAAACACGAGAAAGATTTAGTGAAAGATTTTTGAGTTCTCAGACTTGACATTAATCATTAGGACAAAAAAAAAAAGAAAACAAATTTTGCGTCTTGCTATAAATGATGTCCCACATCAGCTCACAGCGTGGCACCCATTTCCTGCCTGTGGAGTGATTTATCGGAAAAGGCAAGTTTATATAACTGGACTTCTACTTTCACTCTGCTTCTTCCTGTTTCTCTTTGAATGAGAAAAACTGCAGACTTAAGCACAAGAGACAGGAAGGCTGCTGTACCAAAGCGAAAGCAAAGCAACTGGAATTGAGCGACTTAAGTAAGCCAGACCCTGAACCTCTTTTTCAGTGAGTAAAGAAACTGAAACCGAATCACCATGACAATGAATTAACAGATCTCCTGCCAAGTTCTCCAACCTTCCCTTGGAGGACGTGGACCTGAAGGAAGATTTGGCAACAGAAAGAAGGCCCAAAGGGAGTAGAGGAGAAAAGCCTGATTACTGTGTTTGAGGCCAGAAGGGCCTTGGCTCTCCCTCAACTTAGCCCTGGGAACCCACTGGACCTGGATGGAGGAAGCAGCTGAGAATGCAGAGTCAGTGTCTGATGTGGATGGAGCGGGTCCTCTGGGAGCCTTCAAGGGATAGTCAGTCATTCCTGGAGTACTAGGCAGGCTTGGCGAGCGTGCATCAGAGGAGGCAGTTTTGAAAGGAGCGCTCATCAATTCAGTACTCCTGGGCTATGGTTTCTTTACTCTCTCTCACTGTACTAGGCACACAGTCAGGGCTGGGGTCAGGGCTGGGGACGGGATTTAGAGGTAGAGCGCGCCTCCAGTACATGAAGACCTAGGTTCTATCCCCAGCACTGAAAAAAAAAAAAAAAGGTTTAGACCACCTATTCAATTGTTTGAGCTTAACCTTTAAAACTGCATAGATTGAAGTAAATTTAAATTGACACAATTTTTTTAAAAATGAGAAATGTGCATTTCATAGCAGTTTAGGACTATAATATAGAAAAGGAAATTAATTTATATTGAATGAGCAGATCAGTGATACAAAGACAGAAGAAGCTCCTGTCAAAGGCTGAACATGTTGACTGCAACAAATTTATTTCAGAGATGGAAGAGGAGACGTGTAATAATATTCTGCAAAATACACTCTTTATTTGTAGTGCATTAAATGATAGGGCAGTACAAATGCTGTTGCAGTTGGCATGGTAGCCTGGCCTCCCCTCTGCCCCCTCCGCCCCCAGTACTATGGATTGCATCCAGGGCACTGCATTGAGCTACATCAGCCATTTTATTTTTTATTTTGATACAGGATCTTGCTACCTTGCTAATTTGCCCAGACTGGGTTTGAATTTGCAATCCTCCTGCCTCAGTCTCCCAGAGTGCTGGGATTACAGGCACACATGACCACAGCTGGCTATTTTTATATTTAAGCAGTTCAAAGGAAGGAAACTTTACACATAAAGATTTAAAGTATTTTTTAAAAAAATCTCTGTATTTCCACAATTCCTTAAACACAAGTAAGGTGTAAGTGTTCACACAATGTTTATTATATCACATCTCAGAAGCTGAGAATTTGATATTTTAATCCAGTGAAAGTCTTGAACCAGAAAAATAATTACAATCTAGTATAGATTATAATCAAATAGTTGCTTGAAGATTTACACAGATAATTGTACATGTAGGACTTTTATCCTATAGGTAGGTGCATTTGTACTTCTACGTTTTAATCACTGTTTGTAATGTAACCAAAGAATGTAAGCAATCCAAAGGGAACCCTAACAAATCGAGGGAGATTCTCACAGTGAAGTATACTATGGTGTCAAAAAGAACAAGGTAGTTTTGTATAGTGGTATGGAAGGGTTTTCAGTACACCACTGAGTGAAAGACAGGTGGGAAACAGTGAAAATGAAACAGCTGTCAGCATCATTTACTCTCTGTGCTTGTTTTTACATTGCCTCTCTAGGAGGATCCACAGAAGTCTGTTTCCTTTCTGCAAATATATTTTGAACCAGAAATAGGAGTTTTTACTATATTTTCCTTTCTAACGTTTGACTTTTAGACCATGTACAAAACATTATTAGTTTAGCCGGGCGTGGTGGCGCACACCTGTAATCCCAGCACTTGGAAGGCTGAGGCAGGAGGGTTGTTGAGAGTTCAAGACCAGCCTGGGCTACAAAGTAAGTTCAAGGCCAGCCTGAACTGCATAACGAGACCTTGTCTCAAAAAGACAAAGAATAAAATTACTAGTTTAAAACAATGTAAAACTGTGGAAAGATTAATGCAGAATATAAAATAAGGAGAAGTACTAGGTTGGTTACTTTATCTGTTGTTGTCTTCTTAAATCATGAACATGTATTGCTTCCATGTCCTTGTCACTGAACATCACAATTCACCCATGGAAATGCTCTTTAAAGAGCCTTCCTAAAATTCTTGTCTTTGTATATATGAATTGATTACTTTAAAAAAAATCATTCTAACCAACTAACTGGTATTATATCCAAAGTCACTTTTTTTCCCCAGATGACACTTAGCGCAGATATGTACAATGGCACTACAAAATGTGACACATCTCTAGCATGAAAAGTTATGGACAGAAAACAGAAATTTTTTGCCCTCATCAAATGACAGTTGTACTTTTCTCCCCCCTCTTAAAGCCTGTCACGCTGAAGTATTAGATGCTGTATCACTATCACTGCCTGCGTTTCTGTGTCTGTTTTGCTTTGTGTTTCAGTGCCCAGGATCAAACCCAGGGCTCACACGTGCTAAGTAGATGCTCTGCCACTGAGCGCCACCTCCAGCTCCCTCCCGCCTCGTGAGCTCCGTTCTTTGTCTTACTCTCTGCTCTGAGCTCACCTCTCTTCCCTTCATTTTTTTCTTCCCTTCTCAAAATACTTTCTCTTTCCTCCTAGACGCCCATTTTTCTTTGTTTCTTTGACCCTGATTGTGTGTCTTCCGTTTTTTTCCTTTTTTAAAGAAGTCTTTTTGTACTGAGAAATCTTGACAGTCTCTCTGCGAAGTGCATGCTGCCACCGTGCTGGAGGCCCATGCTGCTTCCAGCAGAAGGATGGCTTCATCTTGGTGGCAGCAGCAGGCACACTGGTGTCATAATATGCCCTGGACACATGTCTAGCCTGGTCGAGGAGACCTGTGCATAGCTGAACCAGGAGACCCTTTGTGTGGGCATCAACTCTCCGGCATCAACATTAGTAGCCTGACAGAAGCTACCAGCACTAAGACAGTCATGTCAAATGAAAAATTTCATCAGTAGAACATTATATAACTTATGTAACATTGGCACTTTTTTTTCTTGTTTTGAGACGAGGTCTCGCTATGTAGTCCAGGCTGGCCTCAAACTTGCAGCAATCCTCCTGCCTCAGCCTCCCGAGTGATGGGATTACTGGCGTGCACCACTACACTTGGCTAAGACTTCTAAGTGGAAGAAGGCACACCATGTGCTGTGGGGGGGGGGCTGGCTCAGGGCTGCTCTGTACACAGGGTCACCCTGATCATTAATAAACACACCAGACTAACAAAAGTACTTACCCGTACGTACATCTCTGGAGCTGTGTGGATGAGCACCTGGAGAGGAGAGAAGACAGCTCAATCAGGCTAGGCTCCTAAAGGCACTAGCTTCTCAGAAGTTGCAGAAACAGTGGACAACTTGGATCTCGTCTCAGAACCTAAGGCAGCATACAGCTAATACAGCCAAACTGATCTTAGCAAAGGACAAGCAGGGTGACTCTGAGGTGACAGGCTGCACCTAAGACTCAGATGTGCCTTAGAGAAGCGTCAGACAGACGGCAGAGGGCTTCAGCAGGACTCCAGACCGTGGAATGCTTCCATCTCCCTCCCACAGTGGGAGGGTGCGGCTGGGATTCAGAGCTTCTGCCCTGGCACAGGTTCTGCCAAGCAGGTGAAGAAGCTTAGCCATGTCCCATCTGGGAGGGGGTTTCATTTCAAGACGCCCCTGCTGAACCACTGGCGAGACACAAGAGAACATGCCAGGTTAAGGGGCTGCAGCGGGTAGAAGAAGCAAGCAGAGTAGTTCAGTCAGTCCTGACTGGACTGAACGGTATAAAGCTGTTCAGACATCTTGCGCCAGATCTGAACCCAAGTCTCAGAAGCAGCAAGTGGGGAACTGGCCTGCTTTCATGCGGAGCTTGTGCTAACCTGGTGTCCCGTGGGAAGGAGAGGGCGTGCGCTCCAAGGTCACTGCTGTTGTCAGAGATGGGATTTGGGAGGGCTCATGACTGCCTATCCCCGTGGTGTCTACGGAAGGTGGTTTGGATGACATCAGCCAGGGCCCCGGCACAGTGGCTGTCTCTGTGGCCAGTGGGGTGTCTGACTTGGGAAATAAAGCTGCTGGCTCTGTAGAAAATTCCAAGACAGGTAGACCATAAACATTTAGATTAGTGTCTTCTCAGCTCCAGCAAAGGGTGAACACAGGGACTTACTCCAGTGAGCCCGCCCTGAGCAATCCTCTCCCAGTGAACTGTCCGTGAGTGGGTTTCACATTCATCCACTTGGGTCACTGGACTTGTGAAAACTCAAAGAATACAGTCATTTGTCATAGTGCACATAAGGAAAAGATCCCACAGATTTGAATGGATTCCTCTATTTCCTGGAGAAGGTGCATGAAACGCAGAAGACCTGGCTCCAAAACGCAAGTGGAGCTGTGTTCACCAAAGGCAGCTCGATGCTAACTGCTTTCCATGTGTTGGTGCAACATCTTTGGAAGAGGAAACCTACGATTCAGTCTGCCTGGATGCCCTGGGGCGTATCTGGAGGAAGCAGACTGGTTCAGCTCTGATCTTAGGAGAGGAGGCTGCCTGGCATGGAGGTTCCTCCTTGCTTCTGACTGGCAGACGGCTGCCCTTGAACAGTAAGGTATGGCGTAACTTGCCTTCTGTGAAAAAACTGGCCTTCCACTGCAACAAATATGGAACTTAGGAAATACACCCCTGGAGCAAAGCACTGGGAGAGGCCTGACACGGCCTGCGTGACCTGCATCCCCATGCTGTCTCAGCCACGTGTTTTAAGAAGTTCTTGTACCCTTCAATCCTATGTCAGTACCTCACCCTGCCCAAGCTGTGAGCAGACGGAATCCCCCAGAGCATTCACGTCCAAGTGCCATTAGCCTGGCCACCCGGGTCAAAGGTTATGTTCACATCTGAGGTTCTGACAGCACAGTTTTGTCTCAGCAATGGACAACCCACCGAGTGTAGGGTCAGGGCCTGGAGAAGCTACTGGGTCATTCTCATCTCGTAGGTGACCCTGATGTGACTCAGATCAAAGGAGTTCTGGAATTACTCCAGACTTCAGCCAGTGCCTCGATCTTTTGCAACCAACTTTGCAAGCAAGTTACTTGCCAGAAGGAAGGTTCTTCTCATTTTACTCATTCATTCATTTGTTTGAGATGGTGGCTCCGTATATGACCCAGGCTGGTGCCAAACTCAGAACCTCTTTTCCGCCTCTCCATTCTTCCTCAAGCTACAGTCCTCAGCTCAGGCTAAGGACCACCTGGGAAGCTTTACGAGACCCTGATTTCCAGGCTACCCCCAGACTAACTGGAGTTCCTCAGGGATATCACCAATGGCTGAGGCCAGTGCCCTGGGAAAGTGCGACCAAGCAGGGCAGAAGAGAAGCACTTCCACACAGAGGCAGAGATGCCCATACCCGAGGAAAAGAGAGGACAAAGGGCCGGAGAAAGACACAAACTAGATGATGTGACATTAAAAAATCAAGGGTTAAATATAAAATCAAGGTATCACAGGATGTAGGGCATATGAGCCCAAGATATTTAGCATCCAAGGTTTCAAACATTTCAATATCAAAAAAGTGCCAAGGAAACTGGGGTAGGAGATTACCTACAACTCAGCTGAAATACACATTCGTGGTTCTGTGCAGTGCTTCTACAGTAAAACATCACTGGTACTTTGCTGATGTTTAGGGCTGGGGGAGGTAACTCTCCATGGGTCCTGCACATTGCTACACATCTCGCAAACAGGGGGCCTAACAACCCTTTGCCTGAACTATCCTCTCAAATATGTATAAGGATCAAGTGCCTTCGAAGACAGACACCACCGCCTTCTGAGAAGAGCAGGCATGTTTGCTGTCAATTATAAAACTTTCAGGTTTCCGGAGTCCAGGCTTCCTCTCTGAGGATGCAGTCTGCTGAAAGTGCAGGCATCTATGAAGGTCTGTTTCTGTTGCCCCTGTGGGCCTGTGAGACAAGGAACTGATGTGAATATGCCGAGGCACCTGCTGCCTGTGTGCTGTGCATGAACACCCTTGGACTCCCCTCGCTGTGTGAGCACCCACGGTACTGCAGCAGGCTCATAACCAGGGAGGTCAAATCTCGGACCCTCGCCGGTTCTTGACGAGGGTAAGTGTCTATGACTAAATATGGTCTGACATATTCATGGTGGATTCTGACCCACTAATTATGCACATAGGAAACCCATATGAAACTTTGGTTTTAAAAAACATTTAAGTAAGTTCTGTTCCCCTGTAATTACCGTTGATTTTAATTTTAAAAAAGTATTCTATTGCCTGAGTTTGTAGAACACCAGCAGTGGTCCATGAACCTGTGGGACTGGCAGGGGATGGGGACCTGGAGATGGTCGTCCTTGCAGTTTCCCATTCCTACCTTTTCCAGAAGGGGAGGGGCTCTCTGGCTCTGGGGTCACCCTTGTCGTCACTACTGTGGAGGGTGGCACTGGCTTTTGGTGAGTCAGGGAGGGATCTCCTGGGGAGAGGATAACCACATGGCATTTATGATACGGAGGGTAGCAACTGGGGTAGCTTCAGAACTCAACTATATCAAAAGATCAATGTATACCTTTATAATGGTGTTATCCAGCTTCCTAGGACAAGTTAGAAGAATAGGAAATAAACAATGTTTCCCAACCCAAAGGCACAAACAGACTGCAAATGACTTTTCTAGCATTTTCAAAAAAGATCGCACAGGTTAAGCATAACATTGTTAAATTCTGGGCTGGAAATAATATGCTATCAGCTCAGTTTAACAGTCAAGTTTTTCACGGGAAAATAAATGATCACTCACTAGATCCTATTTGATTAGCAGGAAAAAAAGTACAAGAGACTAGGGGTAATGAAAGCACTTAGTCACAGAAGGTCGATGGGTAGAACCTTTGGACCAGATTAAACCTAGAGGTTCCTCCAGACTACGGGCTCTGAGATTCTGATTCCAGGTTCCTTCTCTCCTCCTCACTCCTGGCCCTGCTCAGAGCCTGCAGCTCTTCTCTATTCCGGATTCGTTCACCCAAAGGATGTGCAGCCTTGAGGAAACACAAGTTTGCCAACAGTGGAAAAGCCCCGATTTTCCACCCTGGTTCCGAGTCACTGCCTGTCCCTGACCTCACTGGGTTTTCCCTTCAACTGCATTCAGCGCCACCGCGTGCTGCATCCCCAGCCCTGCGATTCCTGGAAAAAGTGGCAGGGTTCCCTCCTTCCCTTCCTCTGACATCTGTGTGACTCTCATTCTAGAGGCAGGAGGGGAGAGGCAATCTAACATCACCAATCCCATAAGGAAGTCTGGCTCATCCCAAAGTTTCCAGCAGAGGGAGACTGCCGTCAGACGGCTGCCTCCCACTCCCTGTCCCAGAGCGGAGCTGGGCATCTTCACAAATAGTCTGTGAGGATGTATTTAGTTGCAAGTGGATAAGCACCGAGGAGCAATGAATGCTTGGTACATCAGAACCCCGGGGAGACCACTGGTTAACTATTTTTGTCTAGGAAGGAAGAGGGGAAGAGAACAGGGCTTAGTATTCCTGGAAATTGCATCGAGTCACCTCCCCTCAAAGTGTTTGGCTTCTTTCAGGATGATTATCCAGTTGTGGATGGTTAAAAAAAATTGATTCTTGCAATCATTCCCGTCTTTGCTGTTGAGCTTCACTCTACACAAGTGACTAAGCCCAGGGAAGTTCTGCTCCGCCCTGGTGCCCTGGGTTAAGTACCGATGCACAGGAATCGTGATTATTTCCTGCAGTCCCCCTCTGCAGAACAAGGCCAAAAGGCTTCCTGGAAGCAAGTCTGCCCATGAGCATATCTCTTCTGTAGCCAAGTCTTGCTATTATCATTTCAAAACAGGCACTGACGTGGTAACAGCTCCTATTTACCAGGGCCCACTTAACGCTACAACAGTGTTGGATTAGATTTAACTTTCAGGTGACCCACCAGAGTTCCAGAAAGTTAAGAACCTTGTCAGGTTTGAATATGGGATACGCAGAGCCAGAACTTGAACCTAGAGTTGTATGACCACCGGCCTGCATGTTCCTACCTCCAGGAGCGTTGCTTAGTGGCCTGATGGTGTATTTAACTTCAGACCTCAGCACCGATTTCTTGGCCGCAAGATGGGATCCTCCAGTTCCCACACGGCAGCTCTGCTCTCTGTTCAGCCTTGCCAGAAGGGTGGGGGCAGTGCAGTGACCGGCTACTTACTGATGCACTTCAGATTGGGAGCCGTCCAGTGGGTGATGTTTGTGGTTTTGTTAAACACGCACTCGGTCAAGGTGGATGTGCCCGCCTTCCGCTTGAAACCAGAGTTACAAACATATCGCTCTCTGGAGTGCAAGTTGTAGCTCTTGACCTGGATGTCTGCATGCTCCACGGACGTGGGGGTCGGACACGTGGCACCTGCAAAAGCGTGAGGGAGGGGTAAGATGAAAAGACTTGGGCTTGTCAAGAGGATTCCCTAGGAAACCAGTGGGCATCAATAAAGAATTTTATTACCAGGGCCCAGCGTGTCCCCAGTGCCCTCTAGGGTGAACCCGAGGTTCTAAGCATCAGGAAGGTGATCCGGAAGGATACCCACCATATGTGTAGAAGCATTCCAGAAGTTTGCTTCAATGGCAGCCATCCAGCTAGCTTGAGACTGGGGTGTCATCAACAAACCTCTTCCCTCACCCTCCACTTCCCATCCATCTCTACGCCCACACTCTCTCTCCACACTGGACCAAGGCTTTGTGCTCATTTGGGGGTGTCACATTGTTAATGACGCTGATCCACACCAATACCCTCCAGATCTGTCTCCCCGCAAGTCCTCCTGCCCGTGACCCAAGCCTCTGACACATTTCCACGAGGCAGCCCGCGTAGTCTTTAGAAATGCACAATTGATAACTCTGCTCTTCCCTGGCTGCTACGGCTCTTAGAATAAGAATAACTGAAACCCTTAAAAAGTCTCCAAGGCTCTGCCAGCGCTGGCCCTGCCCACCTCTCGCTGTCATCCCTAGTCACACCGGCCTTTGGTGCCCTGTCCACCCCCCGCCACACACACAACCCATTACCACCCTCTTGGCTGGCTGTGCCCCACTGTTCTTCCCAGCTAACTGCAACCTCCCCTCCTCAGGAAAACCTTTCTTCACCTACCCAGTAACCTGGTCTCACAGTGCTGTGTTTCTCTCTGTAGCCTCTTTCACGGTTTACACTAAGACATGGAGATTATATCACTAACAGATGTCTCACCACCTGCCTTCTGGACCATGGAAGGTAGATTTCATTCAACATCCTATTCCTGAAACTGTACAGGACCTGGTAACAGTAGGTGTATGAGAAAGACTTGCTGAAAGAATCAATGGATAAACTCTCTTCCTCAATAAAGGCCTTGACTCTGGCCTCTCATGCAGTGAGTCCAATTTGTTTTATTCCTACACATATAGCCAAATCATCTGATTATTGTCACATTTTTGGAAGAAACTAGCAGCAAACTGGAGTGACCCAGAAGGGTCTACTTTGGCAATAGCTGGGATTGCACTCAGACTCCAAACTTACAGCTAATACTCCTGGCAGTGGTGTACTTGCTCAACTTCATGGAAATAAAGTTCCACAACTTACTATTGAAGGGCCTTGGGCTGGGGTATAGTTGAGCGGTAGCACCTGTATGGCCTGCACAAGGCCCTGGGCTCCTTCCCCAACATTCCCCTCCCCAAAGAAGCTAAAAAATATCTAAGGACCTCAGAAGAAGAGAATAATATATTGGCCATTTCCATTTGGGTGGTGGTGTCATATCCGTTGACTTTTCGTTGCTGTACTTCCTTCCCCCCGCTCTCTCTCCCCCGAGTTTTTGAGTTGTAACTTGTTCGCCTGAATCCCTTCCAGAACATTTTTGCTTACCACATAAGCCTCAAGTTCAGTTCTGCCAACCAATTTTAATTTCAAATGTCTATGTTCTGTGTCTCCTACTCTTTCCTGGGCCACCTTTTTTCCATCTTCATTGTTTTCTGTAACGTTTTCAGATTCAGAAGTTTTGTCAGCAAATTATTTCACCTCTTCTAAGTGTTTCATATCTTCTCAGTGTTTGTACCACATTTTTGAAATAGGGCATTTGTGACCGATCACTCGAGGAGATTTAAAGTGCTGAAGCAATACTGGTCACCAGATCAGCAATAATTATTATGAATCACTGTCATCGTAAATACTGAGATTCACTGTTACCCTGTGACTTCTTTTATCTCCATCAAGCTGGTTGCTATTGAACAGAACATCTCATCACGTACACAAGTAGACCTGAAGTTCTCATGTGTCCCAGTAGATGTGTAATATCCTCCAGCAGCCGGGCCTACTCCTCCTGCCTTCCATTCACGGTGAGTGCTACTCTCAGCTCAGCGTCCCCCTGCTGATCACTTCTGTCCTGCACGGACGTACAGTTATAGTATAACAAATTTACATACCAGAGAGGAAAGGTGCTTTAGTTTCCTCCTCACTGGAACACAATACCAGACACCCACAACTTACAGAAGTTTGGCTTTTGGTTTAAGTTCATAGTCAACGGCTTCAATCCAGAAAGGGTGTGGGAAAGAGTCCACAGAGGATAGGTGCTCACATCACGGTGGCTAGGAAGCCTAAATTCTTTTTGCTAGGGGCCCTGTGGCTTCCTGCTCTCTACCTTCTCTTCCCAATAACTGGGAAGAATCATTTACATTTTTGTAAATATAGGTTGAGTATCAGTTATTAGAATACTTGGGATCAAAAATGTTTTGGGTATTTTTCCAGAATATTTGCATGTCAATGGTGAACTACCTTGGGGAGGAGACCCAAGTCTAACCACACAATTCACTATTTCTCATGAAGGGCTTACTCCCATAGCTTGAACGTAATTTTATCCAATACCTTAAGTCCATCTGCACTTTGTGATTTGTCACATGAGGTTAAGGGTAGAATTTTCTACTTATGGTGTCTTATTGGCATTCAAAAGTTTCCCATTTTGGACCATTTTGGATTGTGTAGCCTGGATTAAGGATGCTCAATTGGTAATCTTCCCAGCCTTTCCCCCAACTCAGCTGTCACTCTCCTGGCTACTTTTTAACATACTTAGCAGAAGTACTGAGCTGCTCTTTAAGCCTCCTATCACCTGCTGTGGATTTCAGGGGTCCTTGCTATTGGCTGGATAAGCTCTGTCACTGTCATCTCTCATTTTCTCCTCTTCCTCCTCCACCTTCTCGTGCTCCTTCTCTTATCCTCATCACCCTTTTCTTCTTCATACTGGGGATTCAGGACTTTCACACTGAACCACATCCTTAGCCCTTTTAATTTTTTTTGAGCGTCTCACTAAGTTGTCCAGACTGGGTTTGAACCTGTGATCCTTCTGCCTCAGCTGCCCAGAGTGCTGAGATTACAGGTGTGCAATATGACATTTGCCATCCCTTTTCTTCTCCATAATTTACATAAATCAGTTGTCATCGGTGAATAAATAAGTCCAGTCTTCTCACTGCTGGAGGAAGAAGTTTTGACTCGAAACGGAGCAGACAACTAAAATGTCCTCTGTGGTGCTTGAATAAAGTAGAGACTTTATTCAAGTTGGTTGAACAGGCTCTTTCTGGCCAAATCTGGGACAACTGGAACATTAAAACAAAGAAAGACAGAAATAGAAAGACATAACTAATGGAACAAAATAAAGTAGAGAGGTGTCCCGTGTGATTACATGTGTGTGCGCATTTCTCATGTGAGTGTGAGAGTGCGTACATGTACTTGTCCGGTGGCTTGTGCACATGCGTGGGCATGTGTACGTGTGTGCTCTTGTGCGCACACATCTGTGCCCACTCCTTCCTCTACTAGTGCTGAGAGGCAATGACACATTAGCAGTGCGGAGCTAGCGTCAGGTCTTGATGGCCACTAAAGAGACTCGGTTACCTGGAGAAAAAAGTAGAATCCAGGACGAGGACGGAGAAAGCACAAGATGGGCCTAGAAGCTCTTGTTCAAGAGAGTAAGACATTAATCACAGAATGTCATGTTGAAAAGATGGAAGAGGGCCAGGGATACAGCTGAGTGGCATAGTGCCTGCCTGGCAAGCACAAGGTCCTTAGTTCGATTCCTGGTACCAAAAAAAAAAAAAAAAAAAAAGAAAAAAGACTTGGGCAGAGGCTGCAAGAGCAGGTTGAACAGGCTCTTGCTGGCCAAATCTGGGACAACTGGAACATTAAAACAAAGAAAGACAGAAATAGAAAGACATAACTAATGGAACAAAATAAAGTAAGACTCGGGCTGGAGATATAGCTCAGTGGCACAGTGCCTGCCAGTACCAAAAAAATAAATAAATAAAAAGACTCAAGTGTATGCTAATATAAATAGATAAATGAGAGAAGGAAAAAGTCCTCCTCACAGTACATGCAGCCTCTCTACACAGAGAGGGTGGCGGAAGAGGAAAGAGCACGAATGTTGAAGTTTCCTGACAGCGGGCTGCTTTTACCGTGTGGTGGGTTGTACTGCATGTGGAGCGGAGCCAGACACACCTTCCCTCACTTCCCATCTCGGCTGAGCCCAATCTACCCAGCTGCGAAGAACAGAAAGCGAGGAGGGTGGTGAGGGTGCGGCGCTGAGATCTGGCGGCCCCCTGGTGGTGCCTTTCACAGCAGGGGCGTGGGGTCTTTGCTGCCGCACTCTTCGGCCATCGTGCTAGCTGACAGCATGACAAAGAGGTCCAGGAGGACACCTCATCAGTAATGCAGGAGTCTTGAAGGTCAAAGATTCACATGGGTCTAACTCAGCTCCCCTGGTTCAGGCGATTCTTGCATCCCCCATGTCGTATCTCTCTTTTGATCCAGTTTGCAACAGACTCAAAGCTTCAGTCCAAGCACAAAACAATAGCTCATATCAGCTACGCAATCAGCTCCAATCATTGCATGAGCAAGTTCTGCTGTTCAAAGAGAATTCTGACCAGAGTCCCTACAGATGCACGCTTGGCCCACTGCAGAGCTCCCGAGTCAGTAAGTCTGAGGCAGGGCGTGAGAATCTGCATTTCCAAGTTCCAGGTGAAAGTCCATGAGCATTTCCTGAGCACTGCTGCCCTCTGATATTTACTGCATCATTGCAAGTGGTGTTTTAGCATTTATTTAGAATTTCTCTTGAAGTTATGAATAAGCTTGCTCATAGCCCTTTCAGGTCATGGGACTGACTCTATCCATGAGGGTTTCTTTTACACATTCCTCTGTAAAACAAGAACACATTGCTGTGTTCTTTTGCGTTTTTAGTAGATCTAATCATCCACCCTCAACCCCAGAAATTTCATCTGTGTCTGTTTAGCTTTGCAGTACCACAAGTTTAGCTCTATGTTACCAAAGTACTATATTTCAAAATTTTTATTAGGACATGTTTGCAGTACATAGTAACCGCATTCAGTGTGGGGAGGTGGTACATGTACATAACACATTTTTAATTCTCTTTACTTCTTCTTCCCCTGCCCTCCCTCTCTCCCTGTGCTACCAAAGGCTTAAATCTGCATTTGGTGATACAACAAACAGCTGGAAAAATTCTTAGGGCTTGGGGAATGGGGTGGGGTGGAGAGGAATGACCATAAAGAAAATCAACTCGGCAACCCTGGAGGTGCTTGGCAGCAATCCAGAATGGACAGTCCCATAAAAGTGGTTGGCCAGCTCTGGAACCAGACACTCCTTCCTTTTGAGTAAGCCCTAACCAGCCCCAGACCTTTGGATTGGTATGGGTGCTAGTACATCATCTGTAGCTGGATAATTTCCCTCCACGCACAGATGGGTGACCCCCAGAGAATAAGAGAGACATGCTGCCCTGGAGAACAGTCTAGAAAAAGACTGGATTTTATTTGACGGAACTGTATCTAACTGAATTTTCTCACCTGCCCATTCTCTTGCTTACCCCGAATTTTCTTTTTAACACTGTTGTCCTGGGCCTGCAGGAATCCTTTGAGACCAGAGTCAGTGCTCCATCTCCAGAGGACTGATAGTCCGGGCCATGACTCATTCTGAAATCTCTGATGGTTAGGGAGCCTCAGAATCCCTCCCTCACACCAAACACTTCATACACAGTTTTTTTGCAAGACAAATCCCTCTGTGATTGCAGAGACACAGAGCTGGGATACAATCATCTGATTCACCCAGAAAGAAAGCCCTCCAAAGCATGCGGAACTCTATGTGCAACCAGGTGTCTCTGCACTGACCCCTGTGCAAATCACCTGAACCTTAGCCCATCCTCTGTTTTGTGATCCCACCAGGCCCAATCTCTTCTCACAGGTGATACCTGCTGCTGGAATCCTCTCAAACTCATCCACTCCAGTCCTGGGCCTTTTCTGCAGCCCTTCCCTCCCTTTGCTACTCCAGACCTCATCCATTCATCCTCTCTTCACTCACTTCTTGTGTTTGGTTTTGCCACACAACCTGCTGCATAATCATATAATTAAACATTTTCAAGAACTTACTCCTGGAGTTTCTTCAGCATAATCTATTTATCCAGAAGTACATCCAACAGCCAGTCTTCTTTCTGTCAGAGTGGGAGTCCTCTATTTCCCCTTTAGCCATTTGTTGCCAACGGTTGTTACCACTCCTTTCTTCCCATGGGGGACCTGTCTTCTGCTAGACCAACAGTGAGGACTGAGAACATCCACTCAGGGCTGCGCTACAGATTCCTCTAGTGTTATCTGACGGCTTGTGTGCAGGGGTGGCATTTCAGAGGGCTTTGCTCAACGTTCCTGCTCCCCGTCATCCTCTACATTCCTCCACCGAAGAGGGGATCTCTTCACGCACCTTTGGCCATAGGCTGCTGTGCTTGTTACTTGATGCTTGCCCACCTAGGGGATGAGGAAGTTCTCTGTTATCCTACTTCAGTCTCAGGCTCACGCAGGCCTTTGTATGCCTGGGTCTCACGGGTGGAACTTTATTTTGCTCCTTCCCTCTGTGACAGCCAACCTCTCTCCTGTACCTTGAGCAGGTTTTTTGTCCCTCCTCCTGCAGTGGTAGAACTCCAGTTGTACTTGCATAGGATCCTGACTTAGACCCACATATTTACCTGTGGACCAAGTATGTGTGTATGTACCTTCTATCCCACTGGCTTATTTATCTTTTTGTTCATCTTGACACTAATACCATGCTGTCTCAATTACTATGGCTTCATAATAAATCTTGAGGCCAGGTGATGTAAAACTTTGTTAATCACTTTCAAGATAGTTTGAAATTGTGCCTACCTGAATTTTTTCACCTACCCATTCTCTTGCTTACTCCAAATTTTTCTTTTAGCATTGGTGTACACTTCTATTAGAATACATTTCTATTTAGAAGCAATATATTATCAACTTCTACTCCAAAAAAAGCACCTGCTGAAATTCTGACTTGAACTGCATTAAATCTATGGACTGGTTTGGGGAAGAACATTTTGATAGTAATAAATCTCCTTAAAATTCATACACACTACATTTCTCTTGGTTTAAATTTTTTGTAATTTCTCTTAGAAATGTATATAGTTTTCAATGTACTATATCTTTTGTCAGCTGTATCACTACTTCATAGTTTCTGGTATATTTCATATATCAATACAAATGGTAATATTTTATTTAAAATTTTTATTGGTTGCTGCAAGTATTTTGTATTGTGATTTTTTTTGTTATACTGACTGGGTATTCTGCAGACTTGCTAAACTCACTTATTCTAATAGAATTTTTGTGTAATCCATAGGATTTTCTATTGAGATGATCATGTCATTAATTATCTGAATATATTTTATGATGCTGTCTTATCTCCTTTGTTGTCTTACTAAGTATAATTCACTGTTGTATTATTTTAGAGGTTGCTTTAGAGCCTACAGTTTATATCTTTACCTTATCACAGCTTATTTTTCAGAGTATTTTCATACCATTTCATATAAAAAGCATGAAGAACCTTAAATAATATACTGTCATTTTCTCCTCTCAGCCTTTGTGTTACTGTTGTGATATATTTTTCTTTTATATATGTTCTATGTCCCCACAACACATTATTATTATTTTTGGTTTAAACAGGTTTTTTTGAGACAGGGTCTGGTTTTGTAGTTCAAACGGGCCTTGAATTCACTATGTAGTACACGCTGGCCTCCAACTCATGACAATCCTCCTGCCTCAGCCTCCCAAGTGCCGGGATTACAGGCTACCCCCTGCTAAACAGTTGAATATCTTTTATCACCTATGGATTTAAGAAGATGTCTGTGCTGTACTAGTCATCATTTCTTGGTTTTCTGTAGCAGGAGGTTTTGCAATATCTAGTCTGTTTTTTTTCAATGAGAGGATGTTTACTTGTAATCTTTCCATGGTGAATGGTCCTCAAACAAAGATAAATGCAGGGACAGTTGATATTTGAATGCACAAGGATATAAATAAACCACCGCCAACTCAACCAGTCAAGTGGTGGACAGTTACTTACATTACAAAGCCAGATTACCTCATTACTACATTGGAGATAATACATTTAGCTGTAGCCATAACTTTGTTTCCCGAAGCTTTGGTCGCAACTTTTACTGCAGTTGCTAGCTCATCTGTGATAGCTACATTTTAATATCTCTCACAGCTTTGCTCCTTAGATATTCAATATAGACACATCTCACCTTGTCTGTAATATCGTAAGTGCCCTGAAGGCTGTGCATATACCTCACAGGTCTCTGGTACTCTCACCATTCTAAGCCCCACATACAATAGGTATTTTTTGAAGTTAGTAGATTATGAAGCCATGTGTTGGAATGAATGAAATAACAGAAACTGGGGCCAACATAAGACTATGGGATTTCAAAATTCTCACATAGCTGAAAAAAACACAAAAAACCATAATAATCATTTGAATGAAGACAGCAAAACAATGTGTAAGGCCACACCTCTTTCTGCTTTCTAGAACCTGTGGGTCAAGCTTCTTTATCTATAAAGTCAATTTACAGAGTCTAATGGGGGCAAGAAGCCCTGGCCTACTTTCCTATCCAGAGTTCAAAAGTTGTCAGGTCAGCATGCCCCTCCCATTTGCTAAGCAAAGTCAGAAACCATTCCAAGATTTTATTTCACTTACTGTAACATTCAGTCACCTAGAATGTGAGATGCAAAGAAGCGTAAGATGTGGTTTCTTCCCTCACAAAGCTCACTGTGAAGCTGATACAACAGAAAGAATCAAGGCTTCTAGGCACCTACTAATCCACCAAATTATGACAGAAAAATTAAGAAAAGGCAGACAACTGAATACATGGACACATACTGGTGATACACAGTATTTTCCTATTGAAAGATAACAACTTTTAGATTTCCCACTCAAAATCAAGTCATATGCTGCATACTATTTGAAAACAGCTCCATTTATTTATGCAACCATCCAGTGTTGAACATTTAGGTTAGCGTCAACAATTTAATAGTTTGTACCTACTATCAACAGGAGCATGAACACATTGGAGCTTGATACTCACTGATAAAGAACATGCTGTTCTCTATAACCTCTGGCCAGAATCATACTATCAAGTAGCAAATTTAATAATT